TGATAAATATAAATTAATAACAATTCACATCGAATCCTAATACAACCGAATTAATGTAAATTAATGTAATTCTGCCTAAATATTAAATAAAATAGCCAGAATTATTAATCCTGATACGATCCTGATACAATCCTGATCCATAATTTAAATATAAAACACAGGGGTGATATTTAATGTCATAATGCATCAATATTTATTAATAATTACATTTAATTATAAAGAAATTTTTCGTTATAACTGAAAAAAATTCGTTATAAAAAAAATCCGTTATATCGAGAGGCATTTTTATATAAGAAATTCACACACTTTACTTCGTACTATGTTATATGGTAAATAAATAGTAAACTTCGTTATATCAAGGTTTTTTTCATATTTAAAATCGGTACCACATTGTATGATCCGTTATATCATGTTATTCGCTATATCGAGGTTCGCTGTAGAGAGGGGTGACTGTATCTACTTCATTATGCGAAGCGCCTCTTGGCTCTTTCTTTAACGCTAACTGGTCCCTGAGGGAACTATTTTCCTCCATCAATTTTAATCGTTCTGAAGACCGAATATCTAGCTCCCGTTTGTATATGTTATCCGACACCTCTTTCCCTTTTTCCATACATTCTATTTCATAATTTTTTGAATTAAGGTCCTCCTTCACTCGATCCAATTCAAGCCTGAGAGAATCGATCTTTTTAGGATCAGATTGGGCTGGCTCCTCTATCACCCCTCCCACTGCATTCAAATCGTGGAGCACCTGTTCTAGTTCCAAGTCATCCAACTTACCTTCCAATTCACGTACTTTAGTTTCAAGAGAAAGAATCTTGATCTTGTCGGCGGACGAAACTTTCTGGGCCAAAGTTGCCTCTCTCTTCAATGATTTAATAGAAGATTTGAGCGATTTGATTTCGGCAGTATATTTGGCTTCAAGCTCACGATAACTCTCAGAATGAGACTTCCGTTCAGAAATAAGCTGGGATTTAACTTTAGCACTGGACGCATTTAACTGGCTAATCTTATTTCTAATATCAGCATAGGTTCGCTGAGACTCCTTTTCTCGCTCATTGTACTTATCTACCAGCTTTTCACTGAGATCATTAATCTCAGAGTTAAATTCGGTAACAGATCTTAATTTTTTTTTGAGCTCTTGCTCATATGCACTACCTAGCCGATGACCAGGTTTTTTATAAGAACCACCCTCTCTATCTTTTATATCATTTAATGTATGCACATTGGACATAATATCAGCATGGTTATATATTAGAAAAAAAATGTATGAATTTATTTCCGAGATAATAAACTTATCCTATACAATCAGAATAATACAATCTTTCTAAATATCCTATTTATCCCATATATCCTATACGTCTAGAATAATATCTTCCTATATATCCTGTATATCCTGTATATCCTATATATTCAGAATAATATATATCCTATTTAATAAATTATTTCGGAGTATTATATTAGATATAAAAAAAAATATTGCTACTATGCTTAGGCGACGCATGAGATGTGATGCCCCCTTTTTCACCAGCCGATTATGATCATATTATGCAATGTGCTGAAAAAAAGCCTAGAGATAAAGTTTTAAAGGATTTAACAGATAAATATTGTACATCACAAAAACGTATTTATCAGATCTGGAAAGGTGAAGAAAAAAATGGGGTTGTGTGGAATCAACCAATTCATATGTCAACAGCTGCTCCTGGAGAGACTGTTTCGCTTTCTAATATAAATGTTGTAGGCGGGCGGACTAAGTCAGAGATCCAAGACCAAGATGTTTCTCCATTTACAGAGCTAGAAAAACAAATACATGATGCTAAGATAGAGTCTAGCAAATCTATTGATTCACTTTTGGAAGAAGGTGAAAAGGCAAAAAAGGCCGAAGGGAAGAAATCGAAGTCCAAGGATGGGATACCACCGCTAATACCATCTCCTATCCAGTCTCAACCAATTCTCACGTTGTATGAGAAGATAGTTGAAAGAAACATAAAAAATATAGCAAATATGAAGAATATATTAGAAAAATAACTCGCCTATTCTCTGCCTTAAGCGTCTTCGGCAAGAAGTTCATTATAGCGTGCCTGTAATCTTTCACAATACTTATTGATTTCTGCATTATACTTAAGAGTGCTATATAGCATTTTTTCAAGTTCCTTATAACTCACTTTTTTTTTAATACATCATAATCCTCACTTAAATCCTGCGAAATACAGTTCGGGGTCGAGGATTCATCACATTTGGAAGTAGTGATCGCACAATTCACCTCAAGCTTATTTTTGACCTTATGCATATTACTTGGGATAAAAAATTCCTTACCATTACACTTTAGTCTCAATTCCTGCTTTGATGCAAGTAAATCATAATTATATTTATCAAGAAGTGTGTTGGGTAAGATTAGTATCGGCTTAGGGTATTTAACTACAGCAAAATCAGCATATATAGTACATCTGGAAGTGAAATTTACTGGACATTTCTGACAATTCCAAGAGATTTTGTGGGAGTAGTAGCAATACCTCTGAGATCATGTTTTTCTTTTGTATCAATTTCTAGCTTTGATCGTTTAGAGATATCATCTGTCATAATTGCAAAATTAGCACCAGAATCAACCACAGCAACCGGAATGATCAGATGCTTGATTTTACACTTAGTAGTAACAACATCAGTGGCAGGATCCTTTTTCTGAACAAAATCGATTTCTATAGGTTCATTTAGAATTTCGTCTTTTTATCTGAGTCTGGAGTTTCAGGAGTATTCGAAGTGAGATCATCTCTACTATTAACCAGTATTCTAAAAGCAGAATTCTGTGATTGAAAAAAGGCTATAATGGCGCCAAACTTTTCATTAAGCACCTTCTCAATAATTTTCTCAATAATATTTTCCAAGCGGAATTAATTATCCTGTGATAGGGATTTTGAACTTCGCTTTTTCTTTTTAGAGAAAGGAGCTGAGACCAAAGGAGCTGTCTCTATATCTGTTACCTCTTGAGACTTGGCCGTAAGGTGGCTCTTTGATTTCTTTTTTAGTGGAGGGGAAGGATTACTTGATTCTTTCTTCACTTTTTTTTTGCCTTAGTAATGTTAACATTAATATCAGCTTCAGACTCGAATTCAGATGAAGAACTCAAACTAGAATTAGAAGAGTCATCAGACGACTTATCAGAGTTAGTGTTCGAATCTGAACCTAAATCTAAAGTGGCAAGATTTACTTTACCTTTTTTAGACTTACTCTTCTTTTTTCTGAGACATTTACGAGAATTGTGGCCAGCTTTACCACAATTAGAGCATTTATGCTTGGCTAACTTTTTGACCACATTAACCATTTGAGAGTATTTTTTGGAAAGCTTGGTGTAATTGGTATTAGCAACGCCCAATCTCCTTATTAATTCATCATTAATATAATTATCTAAGGATGTAAGATCTTTTGGTGCATCAACTGGCATTCCTAACCGCACTGCGCGTATATACATCTTTTCTAAGGCATCATTATTTTGGGGTTGTGCCTGAATCAGTTGAACTAACTGTGCTTCAAGGGAGGCTATTTTGGAATTTAACTTATCAATCTCAGTTGAAGAATTACTCTGATAATTTTGACCTCCATTTAGATTGGGAGCACGCTCCAACCACATATCTTTAAGTTGTGTAAAGAATGCATCAATACCGGCAGGAGCAACAGCTCGCATCCATGTATAAAGATTACCTAACAAGTGATTCTTAAGAAATCTTACAGTTTGGACATCACCATCCGCTACACCTAATAATAAAGGTCAGATTCTTTTTTCATAAGTATCTGGTGAATCTGTGGGTAGAAATCTTTCTTGAATTAACCTTTGCAGTGCTGACTGCCGACTACCTACTGTTTCATGTTGATATTTTGATCTCATTCAAACACGTAAAGTAGCTGGAGTATTAATATTAGCATTTCCATTATATGAGTCTTAGGCAGGAACTGGTAAATATTTTCCTCCCATCTGACGGAGCTTTATAAATATCATACTTGACAGCATCATCAAAATCTCCGGCATTTGCATTTTCAAGAACAGTCATATGTCTTTGCGCAAATGATATTGATTGAATAAGCCTATCCAAATAATTATCAGAAGGTTCTTGGCCTGTATACGGCTTATTTTTAGCAAGAATAGGTGCAATCAAATTTAATACTGGTAAACGTCTAGCATCGGCCATGTTTACAATTAGGTTCAGTTATTCTGAAGCGCCAAAATTTGTCCCTACAAATTTAAAATATTCTGGTCTCTTTGCCTAATCACTAGCTGGAAAACAAACTTTTCACGTATCAATTTGCCAATGCGGGTTTGTTTTCTTGCTATAATGACTAACATCCTATTTACTTAGTTTTGAGCATTAGTTTGCAACTGTCGGGTATTTTGCTAAAGATAGTTAACATTCTGCTGACATAATATCTGTTTAGCAAACTTTTCTCGCAATAATTCTTGAACACGCCTATCTTTATCCCGATATGAGAAATACCAACGGCAGGATTCTTTTTTCTCATTATTATAAGCCAGAATAGCCATATCCCGCTCTTCTTAAGCATTATCTCTTCCCCTTATAGTTACATCCCTTTCTCTCATAGTTCTTTCAACCTGAACACAGAATTCATCTAATAAACGTTGTAATCGTAAATTCTGATTTCCGCTATCATTTAACTGATTTCTAAGATCATCTACCCGCCAAATTGAATCATTTAATAGGTTCTGATATTGATCCCTTTCAGTTGTGATATTTTGCAAAGTAACCTGAATAGTATTTAACGAGCCTTTGATACCATCTATAACATTGGCAGGATTCTGCATAGGCGTACTGACTCTCCTAATGTGATTTTCAATTCGTTCTAACTTTCTATTAACATTTCCAATAAGATTAGTCGTTGCCATATCTAAATTATCTATTGGAATTTTTTTGTCTATGAAAATCCGGATTCTTGCCTTGAAACGTTCTACCTTATTTTCAAACTCTATGATTCGGCCATCTTGAATAGACCTAACATCATCTTTGAATTTTTTATCCTGTTGTAAAACCCTAAGCTGTTTTCGCAAATTAGATATTTCTGATTTAAGTTTCTCTATCTCTTTCTCATAGGTTATAATAGTATTATCCTGTAATGAGATAGTTCGATAACATTGCTCAAGCTCTTTCACGAGAGAGTGAAGTTTTTTCTCATTACTCTTATTAATAGAAATTTCATCTCGAAGTTCACTACGAAGCTCCTGGTTAGTATCTAAAAGCTGTGAATATGCTGGATCAAACATGGTATTTCATCCTAATTTATAGTACCATCATAATAATCCTACCTTGAGAATGAGCCAACCGCAAATTGTGATAGATCCTGATGAGGCTAAAAGAATCGAAAAAAATCTTATATTGCGTGATGTATATTATTGCCTGACTAGATATTATTCTAATCCCAAATCCTTAAGAGACGCATGTAAAAAAGAAGGGCATCGATTCCACCTAAGTGAATGCAAAAATTTTTTAGAAAATCAAGAGTCATACCAAATCAATAAAACCTCTCCAAAATACATTCCTAGAGCCAGCTATGGCGAATAATATGCCCTAATTATGTATACCAGTGCGATATACTATTTTTTACTCATGATCACTATAGAGGTAAAAAATATAAAGCAGTACTTAACATTATAGACTGCGCCTCCAAATACAAGGCTTCAGTTCCGCTCACATCTAAGAATAGTTCAGAAGTTGCTAGAGCGTTCAGAAAAATTTATGATGACCCTAATAATTCTCTTACCTATCCTAAATTACTTTAAACAGATAATAGGCGAGAATGGATGGGCGAGACTTCTCAACTAATGCAAGAGCATAATGTCACAATTCGAGTGGTCGGTCCATATTTCCATCGAGGTCTTGCATTTGTGAAGCGTTTCAATCAAACACTTTCGAAGATTCTATACAAGATCCAGTATGCTATTGAATTAATATCTTCTGATCCTAAACTAATAAGAGCATGGGTTAGATTTCTACCAGTGGTTATTAATTATCTAAATAACTATCCCACGCGCCTTATTTGAGAACCAGGATCAGAAAAATGGGGACTTAAACCTGTGAAAGCTATTGCTTTAGAACGAGTCGAATCTAGACCATCCACAAAATATAAGCGCCCAGTTGGACAAGATGAAATAAGGTTAAAGAAAGGAAATACCGTCCACTACCTACTTGCCAATGCAGAATGGGAAGGGGTATGGAAAATGAGAAGCGTGCAACTGACCCTACATTCAACCCAAGTTTCCATAGAATCTGAAAAGTTGTTGTTATAAAGAATGAGCTGGTCTTATATTATCTCGGAAGTGATGATGATGAATTTGCTCCAAAGCGAGGATTTGTAACAGAGGAGCTCATGTTAATAGCTGATCCAGAAAGGGTTGGTCGTCCATCTCAAAACATATTATCTGTACATATTGCATATGCTTTTCCTATCAATAACGAGTTAGATCAAGCTATTGATTATGCCAGAAGACATGGTGGTCAACATCTAGAAAGGACTGGGCGAATAAATGGTCATAACATATATCTTTGGTTTTGTGAAAATGGTGCGTATTAGTGGAAGTATCCACTAAAATATATGAAAAAATTTGAATGGTGTCCTCTATACCACCACACTACCGGTGAACGTTAATGCCAATATATTTTTGAGGATCTATTAGGCAAGAAATTTCCATCCTGCAGACCATCATTCTTGAATAGAATGCATCTCAATGGATATAACAAAGAGTTGGGTCTTGCATTCGAATTCCAGGACCCTCAACACTACCATCACAATAGTTTTTATCATCGGGAGACTGAAGGAGGCGAAAGTTTAAAAACACAAAGTCAGCGTGATCAGAAGAAGCGGGATATATGCAAAAATCAAGAAATATATTTCATTGAAGTCCCGTACACAGCTGACCTCTTGTCCTATATCAGACATACTCTAATCGAGAAAGGATTCCTTCTCCTTCAAAAATAAATTTGGACGACGGCCGTCGCTGAAAATTGCAAGATTATTTTAGAATATCATTAGTAATAGATAGTCTAATATGAAAGTAAAAAGCTCGAGCCAGTTGATAGGCTCGTATATCACATCAACGATATTAAAGATGCCCAAAAATATAATGGACATCCAAGTGTCCCCCAATGGCCTTTCACCCTTCTAATTTGTGGCCGTACTAATTCAGGAAAAACTAATGAAGTTCTCAATTTCATGCTCGAAAATAAGCTTTATCAAATGTTTAATGGGAAGAAAGGAGGAACACGTTACATCAAGTATGATGATTTGCTACTCATTGGTCACAATCTTAAGGAGCCGAAATATATGTACCTCAAATCGGCGTATCAGATAATTGCAAATAGTCTAAAGCCATACCGTGAAAATATTACATTCCGGGCTATAAAGCCTGATAAAATCCCTAAGGTGGATTCATTCTCTCCAGATAGAGGTACAGTGCCTATATTCGAAGATGTATATGCTGATCTGAAAAAAGTGCAAGAGAAAATTATTCCTTATTTCGTCGAAGGGCGCCACTATAACATCAGTTTGATATATGTATCCCAGAGTTACTTTGACTGCCCAAAGATAATACAAAAAAATCTCACACATATCTGCCTATTTATGTGCATCAATATGCTAATGACTGGCATAATGTGATTAAAATTATTGATAAGCATTTATGTGAACAAAAATTCGTTGTTTTCGATCTAACTGTACCTCGCGAACATCCATACAGGATACGCGTTGGCTGGGATGTACCTCTCGCTAATGAGTAGAATTTTCTTAGGTACTAAGGACGAAATGTATATTTTTCCTAGTTTCTAGATCATGTTCAGATTCACTACGCCTCTTCGCCCATAATTTCCTTTCATGAGTGCTAGAATATATTTCCAGCTCTATAGTCACATCACTATGCTTCGTTTTGGAAAGGATCTGATCAACAAGAGTGATAATTTTCCTATCCTTAGCAGAAATAATATCCTCCAGATGCTAGCATTTATTCTCTAATATGTCAATGGACTTTTCAGCTGATGCAATGGCTTTTCTCGTATCAGGAATTATACTTTTGAAGAAAGCTACCGAATCTGATAATTGGGTGACTTTTCCATCACTCTCTTTTAAAGACCTGGTCATGGCTACTTCATAAGACTTATATTGCTCTTGCAAGTCGAGAAGCTCTTCAATCTTTTTTTCCAATACCCGCTTTGATATATACAACTCCTCATTTTCTTTTCTTAACAAATTTTCACAGTCGCGGGTAATAGGCTTCATCTTCTGACGCTCTTTTTGCTTCAGTTAATATAATTTCCAACCGCCTTATTTAACAAATCTTCCACTTCGGGGTGGATACTACTTGCCTGTTCTATCGATAATAGATGTTTTCGTGAAGTAAGACATCGCCATGTATCTATTTTAATGGAATGGGGGAGCTGGTTAAGTTGCTTTGAGTAATATACGTGAAAAGTTGGTGTTAGTATACCGGTCATTGTTACCATAGGTAACTAATAAAAAATTTTGAAAATTTTATAGATTCAGAAATTTTATAAGAAAAATTCTGAGAATCTAAGAATTCTGAGCATTCTGTCACCCATATAGACGAAGTCTACCAGGATATAGTTATACGCGTCAATATCACGAAAGATCTGCTAGAAAACTCTGATCAAAAATGCACATGACACCCGACCATTGGTCAGCAAGAAAAAATCATTTTGGCAGGGGTACCCCAGCGCTGAAGAAATTTCACCAAAATTAATACATGATCATGTCTTTTGTGATACAGATAATATATTTTTTATTAATACGTTTTGCAATTGCATGTCTTCCAATTTCACAACTCTGGCCTTAAGCTCAAGATTCTTGGCCTTAATTTTATTGTTCTCAACCTTAATTTTATCATTCTCGAGCTCAAGCCTGGCAATGTATATTTTCAATGAATCAGTCTCATCTATTTTGGATTGCATGCTAGCGTAATATAGTATTAGTATGTTAATATTCAAAAGTAAAAAATCACATGTTTTCCGAGACCACGCAGTCCCGCAAATTTGCCAAGAAAAATTTTTATTATCTGGTGTGTATCCCATACAAAAAAAACAGATGAATATATAAAAAATAATTGGCCACCAGGGCACTTTATTGAACGGTAATATACACAACAATTAGATTATTTTTTTTTCGAATTTCATAGACTTTCTTTTTTTCATTTTTGGTGGTGATGATGATCTTGGTGAAGAAGATACAGTGGAGCTATTTTCTGTATTACTACTTGAACTAGTTGGAAGCGCGTAATATAGAAGAGAAATATTGATATGCAAGATATTCTATAATTATAAGTATGTGTTAATTTTAAGAAAGTAAAATAAAAATTTGAATAAGAACTGCATTCCACATACCCATATTATTGTTAATAAAATTTCGATGAATTTAAACATCTGTTGGTTGTATCGGAATTTTAACTGTACGTAAATTATAGAAACGATGTATCTCATCCATACCTCGAATGAGGATATTTAGATACATCTTAGTTCCAGCAACTTGGATTCCAATAATACCAAATTCATCTTTGTCCAGTTTGCATCCTTTGTGGGCCCAATACATTCATCTCTCTCCAAGTTTTTACCTTATCATTTTCCTTTTTTTGTTCATCACAAATGATACGAGAACTCTCACAATAAATTAATTCATATATTCTTTCATTACAACTAGCGATAAATATAACATCTGGTCATTTTCCAATTCCTCTTCGATCTTTACTAGCTATACTTTGACGCTCAGCTGTAGAAATATAACCAGATTTCCCAATTGGAAGATCTTTTAATGATGCTCGAATCATTGGAACTATCACATTAGTCATATATGTCCCTTCACTTTGTGACTTAACCAACTTTGGGCCAAAGGCAGAATTTTTCCAAATATCTCTCCTATAAAAATAATGTTAAACACTATTTTTCGTTAAAAGAAATGGCAAATATGATTATTATATTATATTAAGGCTCGTTACTGAAATACTTACAAGATATTGAGTATATCTAACGTAACTTTTCCTAGTTTTTCGTTAGATTCTTTCCAACTTTTATCATGTAAAGTCTATTATTTGGGATATCTGTAATACTGTCTATGAAATTCAAAACAAAGGAATCACAATTATCTTTGACAAGATTTGGAGCAGTTACTTTCATACGCTCTGCCGGATCCTATAGAGATCACAATATTAATATAATAAATACTCTTTGCAGAAAGTAGACTATGGTAATACAAAACACTATTTGCTAAATTACTTACCATAAAAAAGTTATATGCCTCTACTTCCAAAGTTCTCACCATTTCTGAATCCGCACAAATCACTTGACTAGCAAGTAGAACGCGCCATGATAAATTTGAAGCACTTTTCTTCTTTAAATATTTACGGAAGTGGTAGGTGTATGGAGCCTTGCTATTTTTAAGATTGGTTTTCAAGACACGCAAGTTCGTCTTGATTTCATTCTTAGTGAGCGGTTCTTCCTGTTTTGATTCTTTGATATTCTGAAGACTACTTACACCTTCATATGCATCATCAAACTAGCGCAGAAGCCTTATATTAGTACTAATGTAATTAATCTTTTGATATTAGAATCATGTGCGCACACTTATCAACATATTTCAAGTAAATTATCAACTATATGTGGCCTGCATACAATTAACAATGTACATGAATGCTATATTTTTTCTTCATAAACCATAACTAAGATCCACCCTTGTGTGTCTAAGGAATTAATGCATCTGATAAAACCTGTGCCCACATGGCTATGGGTACTCACTTAATTTGGTTATAAAAATATTATTCTGCGCAATCATCATTTGGGATTATAATCTGATAAATAATAGTAATAATTACTAATCTTTAAGGGAATATCAACGAGTTTTAGATATTTTTTCGAAGTCTGATTGTAATTCTTTTTCACTACTATAATTGCCTGATGAATTATTTCTCTTAACTTATTTTTTGGATACCACGTATCATTTTCTATTAGTTGAAAAATAACAGAAAATGCAGTAATATGGTCTGAGGGTGAATCAAGTAAAAAATTATAAATATTTTCATATAATGCGAAAGAAGACATAATGACGAAAATATAGTGTTAGAATTTCGCTGAAAGAATAATAAGCGACAAATAACTTGAATTCTATATACTTGCCCTTTTAAATCTCCATTTACCATCTTCTCTGAGCCTGAATTTATGTTGGGATCAAGTAGAAGAATATGCAAGGCACTTTTACGCCAAAATTTTATGTTCAAGAATAAGGGCATGCGGAATGTGCATTGAAGATCTCGACATTTAGAATGGTGTTGGGGACAATGCATATACAGACTTTTTTCTTTATTTCACTTGCCCGACCGCTCAGTAATAAAGGCCTAGTAACATTATATAAATATACTCTGGTCGAAATCTAGTAGGAATAGCCTCTAGCATCAGAGGAAATAAACTCATAAATAAATGCTATTCAGATAGATAGGGAAAAAATTCAAAATATTCTGGGCTTATGTGTGAAAATTAATTTGTCGCACAAGCAGATAGATGATTTGCGGTGTATCACCTATTACATCATATATACTTTAACGAGGATTGAAAACGTGCTAATTTATGTCGTACACTGTTCTACTACATGCATCGTGGCAGTATAGTGGGTAAAAAGTATATCGATTTATTGTATTATATAGCTAACTATTGAATACATGAATATATGAATATACGGATATATGATATACTATCTTATGTTTCAGAAAACTCGTTGCACGTACTCACAATTATTGTTAAAATTTGAGAAATTAATACCTGCAGATTTGAAATAGTTAATTTCCAGCGAATCACATGGATACTGTTTGCCTGCCTCTTTATACTTATATCGCGTATATTCTGAAGATCTAACAAAGTTTTCAGTACCATCATCACGAAGTTAACCTAAGCATTTACCAACCATTTATTAAATGCTTTAAGAATATTTAATTTAAGTGCTTATTAAACAAGTTTCAACGCAGCTTGTATTCGATAAGCATTATTTTTTTATTGCTAATTGATTAATAGAAATTAATATAATTAAATTACTTAAATTAATTATATAATAAACACCATTTTAGTATTGATATTTTATTACGGCATAATTTATATTTTATTATTATATTTTATACATTTTTCTATTATATTACATATAATATATAGTATCTTTATATTATGACTAATTTACTTTTTCAGACCTTACTACTATTTAAATTAGAAATTTGCGAAATTCCATATATAATAGGATATTATATTCAGTAACAGCCAAAAAGAAACAAAATTAAATAATGCATTCTCTGGTTGTAGCAGAAAGTGCGGTATAAAAAAACTGAAGGCAGAACAGACCACCACAAGCCACAGATCATCACTACATATAGAGACCAGGTCGTCTAAAAAAAAGAAAAATTGAAACGTTAATAAAAACGTTCCGCTAAAAGAAATATATTCAAAAAAAATTCTCCTTACCAAAATTCTATGCGTCCAAAGATCTGAGCGTCTAGAAAAAAGATAAATCAAAGCGTTAATAAAGCATTTCGTTAAAAAGAAATAAATCAAAGAAAAATTCTAATACCAATTAAAATCTACGCATCCAATAATCTGATCGCCTAAAAAAAGAAGGATTGAAATGTCAGTGAGAACATTTTGCTAAAAGAAATAAATTCAAAAAAATATTTTTGATTTTTCCTACCGATATTCCATACCAAAGGCCCGACCATCTAAATAAAAAAATTGAAACGTTAAAAACGCTTCATTCATTTCGTTTAAACAAATAATAAAGTAAAATAATAGCCCACCAAATCTAACATGTTCAGACCTGAAGAGCAAACTGACTAAAAAAAAGAAAGAAATGAATATGATTAGTAATTTTTGTTAAAAGAAATAAATTAAATATAAAAAAACTTACGAATTCGTGCCTAGGAAATTTTGAAGTTGACTAAAAAAAGAATAATAAATAAAGCGTTAATAAACATTTTGTTAAAATAAATAAAAGAAAAAGTTACTTACCTAAATTTCACATCCAAAGAAGACTCGCCTAAAAAAAAATAAAAAAACGAAATTGTTAGATTAACATTTCGTTATAATAAAAAAATTTAAGAAACAAAAATATATACCGTAATCCACGTGTTCAAAGACTTAAAAAAAAAGAAGCTGTCTAAAAAAGAGAAAGAAAACGAAACATTAGTAAATGTTTTATTAAAGAATAATTAAAAAATAGCCCTTCTCCTACCAAATTCAAGTATTCAAAAATCCAAGCCGTCCAAACTCCAGAAACCAGAAAGATCCGCCTAAAAAAGAAAAAAAAATGAACTGTTAGTATGGTTCGTTAAAAATAAAAAAATTAGGAAAAATAAAAAAAACGTACTTAAGACTCACGTATCAAAGAAACCAAGAGTCTAAGTGAAGTTGTCCCTAAAGAAAAAGAAAAGAAATGTTAGTGATATTCCCAAAATACACAATTCCAACTCCTTCAATTTACAACTTACCTTTCATCAAGTTTTCTAGCCGAAGTCTGAGTCCAGGTGTTGTCTCTATAGAAAAGAATGAAATAAACATTAGTATTAGTAACATTCTTAAATAAAAGAAAAAGTTCCAGCTTCACACATCCCTTCCCTTAACTTACCATAAAGTTCCTTGCCGAAATCCAAGCTCAGGAAAAAGGAAGAAATAGTAAAGTTTCATAATGAAACTTACCATTATTGAGATTTAATATTACTGCCCGATATTTCAAAAAAAACCTACAAAAAAAAAATAGCAAAAGAAACGTTATTTAGCGTTTCTATTGAAAAAAAAGGAAAAAATGATAAGTTTCACTATGAAACTTACCCATTACACTTTACAGAAATCCCGCGTCCAAAAAATTATTTCTTGAACTTACACTGGTTTAACATTTTCTTTACCGGTTAGACTATTTTTTTGTAGGTTTCAGTTTTAACTAGTTTCGAAGTGGTTTTCTACAAAATAATAAAAATGAAGTAAACGAAATCTAATAAAAAAAACAAAATTAGAACCAAAGAAATGAAAAACGATAATAAAAAAAATCAATCAACTTACCAACCAGGAACATTCCTAAAGAAAAAAATTGATTAACTTTTGTCATTTCACTTGAACATGAAAGGTTTTATAAAAATGTTTTTTTTTACAATTTCATTGAATTAGCTTTTAGCTTTTTAACATTTTATACGTGATAGTAAATTTTTCTAACGAATTTCTATATAAAAAAGATTATCAATTGATCAGATCGATAATCATAATTGATACTGGAACTAAAAAAAAAAATAAAATTTTTTTAGTTTAAATAGACCAAATAGACCAAAATTGTATATATATAGTATATATATATATTGAATATGATAAATGTTAGAACTATATGTATATCATATGATATACTACAGCGAAATATCAAAACAGTTTTGCAGGTTTTGACAGTTTTGCAGTTTCACATTTTATGATTTTACGAAACTAATTTTGGTAGTTTTGCATATATTACACCGCAAAACCCTTACATTTTTAGTTTAAAAAAAGAATTTTTGGTTTTTTTTATGGGTGATTTTAACTTTTAAACAGAAGGGGAAAGGATAAAAAAGAGGAAAGAACAAAGGAAAAGAATAAAGGAAATGGAAATGGAGAGAGTGAAAGGAAGGAAAAAAAATGGGAAAGTGAGAGAGAGGAAAGGAAAAATATAAGAGTGAAAAAAGTGAAGCTTCGTTAAAAAAAAAATTTGTAAAAAAAAGATTAATCTATATCACGTGATACGCGTAATACTAATTTTGGGACATGATTTTTTTTTAACAAGTTTATATTATTACATCAAAGGTAAGCCCCTAAGACTTAATATAAAAATAACAAAATCTAAATGCTTATATTCTATGTTTTTTTAATAATAAATTCAAATGTTTAATTGATATTTTTTTTTTCATAGCAATTAATAAGTATTAATTTAAAATATTTTTTAAGTGTTTTGTTAAAGTAGCAATTATGAAGTATTTAATAATTAATATTTAATTTGTAATTTATTACAATGATAAATAAATGCTTATTTTAAATACAAATAGATGTTCATGAAACATTAAAGTATTTATTAAATAATTTGTGTTTGATGAATACAAGTCTAACATTTGATCAACTTCGTGATGATCGTATTGATTAATACAGTAATATTCAGAATTCAATAGACACTTTAACTGACAAGACCATCCACCATATTTAACGTTTCTATAGTCTTGCTGATGTAATACTACTATAAAAGCAACTATATATGCTACAATACTTAAACGATTCAACAACTGGTGTTTCTTATTTTCTATCCATGTAGTAGGACGTACTAAATCAATATATTCCTTATACGGAGTGACAGGACCCCGAACAATATATAAATAGGTCATAGGAAATTGGCAAAATTTTACTATTAGCTCTACGCATTTTTTCAGGGTTGGAATTATGATAATGTCAGTCAGTTACTAAATAAAGTAATATATTTCTTACCAACGTTATCAAAATTTATCTAAAAAAGGAAAGATTTTCATGATCATTTTAGCCTATTCTACGCGTTATTTCTTGTTACCTATTTCAGTATTGTTCGGGGTCCTGGAGTGACCAGTTCAGCTAGATTAAAATTTTCGATATAAATACAGTTTTTCATAAATCCGTCAACAAATTCACCAACACGTAAAGCATATTCTTCTTGAGTCTCGGGATTTATTATTATCCTTTGAAAAGATGGAAGTTCGCCTAAAAATCTCTTTCTATCGGGAGTACCATCATTCCTTACTATATTCCAGACTCGTTGTACCCATGTTTCAGGTCCCAACTTGAAAGCTCTCCAAATCCGTTGGATAGCTATTGCACTATTAATAAAGCGATGTATCTTTTCCTTAAATTCATTTGTAGGGTGAAGATCTATATATTCATACGATTTTTTATATCTAAAATATATGTTACAATAAACCCTATTAATCTCTTCTTCAGAACTAAGTGCTCTTTTAATTTTTCATTTCCATAATATAGATCTATAATAAGCAACACGCCTTTCCTCTATTTTAGCAATGCATTCATTCAGATGCTTATTTGCGCATTTCTCGGTATTATCACAGATAAATACTAAGGAATCACATGCAGTGCAATATATATGAAATGAACGCTTCTCAGGTCTAAATTCCCCATCTTTATATAATCTTTCAGTTATATGAATATATTCATTTTTTGAGAAGAATATTGGATTATATTCGATAAGTTTCCTAAATGAAACACGAATATGAGAACACCACATTTTTGGCGTTTCATCGGTATATCTGTAATGCAGATTAGTTAATGCTTTCACTACTACAGGATTTAAACCAGAATAGTTAGTTTTAACCATTTTTATAGTTTATTACTGATCTTAGTGATTTATAGCATTTTAGCAAATTATAGCAATTTCAGTGTATTCTAGCAATTCTTTTAGCAACTTATACTAGATAATATCATCATTCAAATTTATATGGATTTACTGATTAGCGATTAGTTGATTTGTAGCCGATTTGTGAGACTACATGCTAGTAAATCAAAATTCATTTTTTATTCGATTACTAGCATATCGGGATTTATATAGGGTCATATCAGTGACATATCTCAGCTAAGCTAATTTTATATTTACATGTGGTTTGACCGTAAGTGCTTTGCATGATGTACAACATAAAAATTTGTATCACCCTGCCTCCTAAACAGTTCCCGGTACTTCCTCGCAACCTTCCCGCAACTCAAATCACGAGGATCAACCAATCAGATTTTGCGCGTGAGTAGCTAAGCTACCATTAAAATTCGATTAATCATATCAGATATTATTTTTTAAACAACACTAATCTCAACTTCATTTAAATCATGGCACTTAAAGGTGAGGCTTTTTTCACTTGCTCTATTACGGTGTTACCCCACTTTTCTTAAACCGTAAAAATGTCTCTTGAGTGGAATAATGAACAAACCCACTTTCTCATCAATGAACGTAAAAATGGTAATGAAGAATATCACTGTACCCCTAATCGTAATAAGAGAATCTTTTGGGAAAAAATAGCAGAGAAGCTCAACGAAGTTAATAATTTGAATTATTTTACCGGGAAAGCTTGCAATAAGAAATTTTTATTATTAACTCGAGCATATTATGTAAGTGTATAGTCTGGTTTTTCTGAGAGCTATTAACCGTCTCTAATCTAATACCCTCATTTACTTAGTCGACTAAAGCCTATTATGAAGGAACTAAAAATAAGAGGAGTCTTGTTGGAGAATAATATTACAAGGAATTCTCCACAGAATTTTGGCAAGAACCTGGTAATTAGTTTTGTAATATATTTCTCCAACTAGATATTATTTTTTTAGAAAAAGGAGATTGAGGGATATTTATTGTTTCTAGGAACACAACGTCCATCATCATCTAATACAACCGTCTCCACAACACCTTTACCAACACTCTTGACAGTCGTATCAGATGGGCAGTCATCTTCTGAGAGTTTGAATCCTTTCGAAACAGGGTCTGATACTTCTAGTAACGCCTTCTATTGAGACTCCTGTTGTCTCTACTGGAGGCGCTTCAAGCAGACCTGTTACTTCCATTCTCTCAAAATGCGAATATAATTAATGTAACAATTAATTATGGTGGCAAAGAAAACAGTTTGGAAGAACAATAGGAGATAGAATATTTTTTATTAATATATATGTATAGCACTTAGCAACTGTAAAATAGCATTTTAATGTTCTAGCTGTTTGTTTTTTACAATTATAGCTGTATTAATAAGCAAATGTAATTAATAAATATCACTTGTAAAACACGAAACACATATTTTTTTAAAAATCAATCAAAACATTCTTTATTGCAAAGTAATACATGAGAAAGGGCCGGCCGGCTATACAAAAAAAAAATGAAACTAATGAAAGATATTGGAGTAGCAAGTTGTTTCAAGGGAGGAATTTGCCAAGCCCTAACTCACATAATGGCAGTTCCTTCCCCGCTACTCAGTAACGATGTAAATGAGTATGATCCACCCAAGTACCTATTTTTTCTAAATTTTTGCTACTTATGTTATCTTTACGATAAAATCCCTTTATTGTATCTTTCCCAATTACTCCCATCCCAAGTCTACTAAGAATATCAACCGATACAACAGCACATATCTGATCTAAAGAATAATCATTCGCACCCTTAATCCTATCAAAGATGTCAATAAATTGTTTCAGGATTACAGAAATAATATTTGTGAATTTTTGGCTCGAGCCTGCAATCAAAAAATGTTAGTCAAACCCCTAATACATAAAGCATTGATTATCAAGAATTATTTTGTTTTTATCTTACCAGAAGAACCGGAAGAGCTTGAAGATGAATTAGTTGAAGAGCCTCGCGAATCAGTTTCAGATTCATTGGTCAAATTAGCTTCAGATTCATTGGACACACTTTGTTGGTCCTTTGAACTACCACGTAATGATTTATTTTGTTTTGGAGATCTTTGATAACAACATTAATTGACATGAATCTGGATGTAACGGATTCCACTAGGAATCTAATACTGCCAGAGTCATTATGGCAGGCTTCCTCGATGTTATTAAGTCTTCCCAATATTTTCTGCGCTTCTGTGGCGTAGCCGCATTACGTGCCCTAAAAATTTCAATTTCTGCGGTAAGTTTATTATTAAGCTTAGTATTAATTCTGCCGAACTCTGCAGTGAAAGATGCATTAATTTCAGAAAGACGTGTGGTGACTTCATTAGAGATTTTGGTATTGAATTCTGCCATAAACTTTTTGTTTATTTCAATAAAGGTCTTTTCGATTTCCTCTGGTGTATTATTTTTTGTATTAAGATCATTGACGATTCTAATGACACATGCAGAAAGTTCATCAGAAATTTTTTATTTGAGATTTGACCACATGGTAGCGATCCCCATGATTAACACTGGACCAATGAACAAAAAAACAGCGGTTAAGGTCAAAAAAAGCATAACTCCTGAAGAGTTGAGCAATGACAAACTGGACATGATTAGGCGTAGTAATTTTATTAAGAAATTTTATTGGTGGATCAAGTTTTTTAGATATACTTTTTTAATATGCAATCTTTTGCGTAAATGCGCTGGAAAAAAGGTTTATTTTATACTGTATGCCTACTATGCGCAAAAAGAGAATTTAATCTAATTTAAATAGATCAAATAAAAAATTACGTTGTTTTATTATGCGTACTTGTCATTATTACATTTTTTTCATAATTATATTTTTTTCACCTAAAGTCACAGCCTGGATCTCGTCTAATAATAACAAATATCTCTCCCCTGAATTGTAATAATAGCGCTTAAAAAGTAAATCCGACGAATTACAGTTTTATGACAACTTAATGTAACACTAATGAAGCAATGCCATGTCTCAAAATTTTCCATTTATTTCTAAGATCTCTTACAAAACAGAAGATCGCATGTAGTGCATCTTTGTCTGAGTTTACAGCCCCACTCCTATTTCAATTGTAATCACGAAAAAAGAATAAAAATTGAAATATTTGTTCATCATGGATCGAGATCTGTAGATGACAAATCACACATGTATTACTAATTCCTATTCAAAAAACGGATTAATGTGTGATTAACCTGTACACGTAATTTGAATGTGCTAACGTCAGTAGGATAATAAAAATATACCGTTTATTTACCTGTGGGTAAATCTGTAAATCATTGATTCTAATCAGCTCTATTTCCATTTTTGAATTTCTTTTTATCAACACCCTGTCTTACGATCCGCAAAATGTAAATCAGGGATGTGGTTTTTTTATTAGTAATTCAGAACTGCGTAATGAGTAAGATATAATATACCAGAACTTCTTTCAGTTTGGCGCTGGGGAAAGTTCATCACTATAGCAATACAAAAATATTGGGTTTATTAATAGATCCTTTAAAAATGACGACTGCAGATGCTGGTGACATACTACTGCGCATAGAATATTCTGCAGATCTGAGAAGAATAAACTACGTGATTCGAAATATTTTTACTTACTGTGACCAAACATTCATGATACTGCTTATGCTTTAGCATCTGATTCGAAGAATTATTCTGGCTCGACTAGGTGAAGAGGTTTTTGAACGTAAATTAAAGATAAGTATTTCTTAGTAAATATCTCTCCAGCTATGGAACAAAGCTTACTAATTATTTCTGGTCCTAGTGATGGTAATAATAAATTTGGGTTAGGCGCCGATACTGATGATGATGATGATGAATTCTGGCTGTTCGATGATGATAACGAAGATGATGATGATATTGAAGATGATGATGTATTTTCTAGCAAATTATATGACAGATGGGATTATAAAAAAGATTTTGGTGAAGATGCTTGAAAAAAGCTTTATCGAGACTGGAAAGCTCGTCAACGTTTTATCCTTCTTAGGCTATTAACCATGCACCTTTCTAATTTATCTGAGCAAGCAAAAAATGGCATTTTTTAGATTTAATTCATTTAGAGTATTAGAACACAACGCATTATTAGATGCTCTAGCTCATCCTGTGAAAGGTTTAAATCTTTTCGAATATGATGAACTCGGGTTTGGTTTAATAAACAATGCAAAATTTCAATAAATCAAGCTCTGATAGGCTACCTTGCTAACAGCTAACTGACATAGCTGATATTATTTTTTTCACAATGGGAATTATTCAATGTTAGACTCACTTTATTAATATATGCAAAAAATAAATAAAAATCGTGATTCGCACATTGCACAGCCCCTATTCTTCGGCAAGAATTTACCGGAGTATTTCAGGTGATCAGGTCCACATGACCGGCTATGCTATAATTACGAACTTGAGTTTAATGCTTGAAGTATTGCAGGTAAGGCAATATTCCAATTTGTCTTGAGAATACAATTTCGTTAATTCAGGATCATAAGGGAGCTGATTCCCATTTTTGCAGTACTATGAGCCATGTAATCTATAATTCCCATGTTTTCCATCACAAATAGGGCATGGTGAACTTCACGGCTGAGGTGATGTAAAATTATTTATCAATCCCTCTGAAACTATTTCCGAATTTCAAGTATGGGAAGTGCTCCAAAACAGATTTGATAATTAATTCTGGATCGGGTCTGACTTTAAAAGTTATAAGCCCTTTTTCTTCACATTGCTCAGAAGAAGATAAATAGGATACTTTGTTTTCTGGCTTCAAATTTATGAAAAGGCGGGCTTCTGATAATTGCCATGGCTCATGCCCAGTTTCTTTTTTATATTTTTTGTATAATTTAGAACGAATCTTATCTGTCAAAGCGCTTGGTAACCCACTTAATTTGGCATGCCAATCCAGCTACTCAGGGGTTAATACTTTATCGGACTTGCTCATGTTGCTTTTTTCTATGATTACAGATCAATTTAAATTCCCGGATAGAAAGCTGTCTAATATTTCTTATCATATTTCCAAAAAAAATAATTAGATCATCTTTCGAAGTATCTATAATCTCAATTTCATGCTGTTCACATTTAATAAAGTAAGATCCAGCTTTATACCTACCTTCTATACTTTCCTCATCGTCATGACCTAACTTGCATAATGGGCATAATTTCTCGTTGGTAATTCCATAATAATCGAAATTTTCACTACTAAATTCTCTATATAAATTTTGATATTGATCCAATGTCTTGTTTTGAAAATAGGTGCGGTCATAGGTTGGATTAGTCCTACTTGTTTGAGATGTGACTGATGAAATCGTTTCTGCAAAAGTCACATGACTCTGATTGTTACCATTGGTAACGGTTTTCGAAATTACATGAACCCGATCATTCACATAATCTATAATATTTTGAATTTGAGTATTATTTAATCTAGAAATATCACTCGCGCTACAAGTAACTAACTTAATTCTATCAATCCCGACCCCTTTTTCTCCAAATAGCATAAGAATATTTTTAGCTCTATGTGTTCAGATTCACAAATTACCCAGAGTGACATTAGGTAAATACTGCAACATATCTTTGTATATCATCGATCTTGCTGTCTTATCTTTAGTCTTGCTATCAGCTGTAATATTTTTTACTTTTTCTTCGAACTCGAGGGAATAATGATACAAATATAAGATTTCTTTTAGACCTGTTTTTATAGCCTCATCAATCCAATAAGCTAATCTCCGCGTAGAGCCCTCAATTGCGTTGTTTAAGATGGATTCGTCATGTAGTTCAACTGATGCCACTGAAGAAATAGGTCTAGAAAGATCATGCTTCAAAATTTGTTCAGTGAGTTGATTTCTATCAAGCGGTTGTGTAGCAATTGGCCCAGGCATTTCATCAGATGAGACATCCTCACTATCGACACAAGAGATCATTTTCATGTCGCATGATAAGTTATCCTGAATCACTCTAGTATCCACCCTTTCATTAATTAATGAAAGCGAAGCAGAGATATCATCGCCTGTACTGAATGATAATTTTGAATCTTGATCGTTACCAATGGTAACGGTTTTTTGTCACGTGATAATTTCGAATCTACAGAAGTAACAGCCTGGATTTGATTTTTGGTTGACTCACGTAAAAGTTTCTTCTCCTTATTGCATCGCCTTATTCTATCACTAACGCTTTTCTTATCTGCCTCATCCAAGAATTTATCCATCTCTTTCTCCTCCGATGATTTAGACACCTCTGGTACAATTACATTTGCTGATGGTTTCTCTGAAACCCCCGCTTTACAAACAGGTGTATGTTGATTAAGCTGGATTGATACAGACTCTGGTATGACGACAGCTTCCTCAACATGTGAATCATTCTGTGGCTGTTTAGAATCTTGTTCCAACTTCGCAACTCTAATCTTAAGCTCAGTATTCTCTGCCAAAATATTTGCACTATTCTTCTCTAACTCTTCTATTCTAGCCCTTTGTTCAGCATTCTCAGCATCACGCCTGGCATTCTCCTCAATAATCTGTCTCAGCTTCGCATTCTCAGCCTCAACTTCAGCAAATTTCTCTCAAAGTTTGGGAATCTCAGTATTCTCTTTTCTAAGCTCAGCAATCTCAGCTAAGAGCTTGGAATTTAATTCTCTCAATGAATCGATGGATTGCATGTTCGATATTAATTTTTATATAAAACGGAATAATTCAATAGTTTGTTAGCATAGATAAAAAAACTGTGACAAATGTCATGATCGGAATTACTGATTTATTGATGTAAAAAAATAAATTACAAGATTCGAAAATACATAAACGTTTACAAAGTGAAGTAGAATCCTATACTAATGCCTGCCGGTGCTTCATTCATCTAAGCTATCTATACTAACACAATATCTCTAATCCGATTTCATTCGTCCCAACGTCGATACTCTGAATAAAATAGAATGGTCGTCAATTATGCATAAAATACGCGGAGTCAGAAGTAAATTAACGATATCGATCTTAGTAAAACTCACCGAAAGTTTATGTTCGCTTAATAAGGTCCTCGAAATTTCTGAGCAAAAAAATAGATATTAGCTCTGCAAGCGATGGGTCACTTCCTTGCAAATGCACAGCCACAGCCAAAACATTCATACCTAAATTGCGTAAATGTCTCGTCCGAAGCTTCAACAATTCTTTCGTCAACACTGCGATAGGTCGGTTTCTTTTTTAACGAAGAAAAAAAAGTGTCCTTACGTACGACACTTGTACGACCTAAAAATTACGTAACATTATTCATCTTTTTTGAGAATCGAATTCGCATCTAATGAGTCAGTATTCGTGTTACATGCAAGAGTCTATTCAGAAAGGTATATAAAGTATTTAAATACCCTCAAACTTCCTTGAATTAATTTTTTTTTTTCACTTTGACGCGTACTATAATATTATTCCATACTCTTCCTCATAATTCTTAATTTTTTTTTTCACTTTGACGCGTACTATAATATTATTCCATACTCTTCCTCATAATTCTTAATTTTTTTTTTCTCTTTGACGCGTACTATACTTCGTAGAAATAATAATCTTAAATTTTTCTAATAACTATGGAAACCGTAACCTTAAATAGATTGATTCAACAAGACTCTAAGTTCGCCAAACCCTTTGAAGATAAATGTGTTGAGAATAAGAGACTTATTAAAACCCTCAAGCAAAACATTTATGACCAAGACTTTAATGAATGTACGAAATCCTTGAAAGATCTAAAAGACAACACAAAACAGGTTATCAATATAATGGAACAACAAAGAGTTGTTAGTAATGATCTCATTGACTTATCAAAAAGGTTACTTAACAAACTAGAAATAAAAAATGCTTTGAGTGAGTACAGAGATTGGATCTCCTTTTTCAATAAACGTTTGAGAGGTCAGGTGGGCGACTTTAATGTATGGAGTAAAGCACAGTCGGCAATCTACAACAAAGTAGAAAATTCAATAGCCAATTATTCTACCTCTGAGAGAGATTATGTTTTACAATTAGAAACTGTACTAACTAACGTTCATATGACACTTGAGGAGTATGAAATATTGATACTAGTGAAATTCAAAAGTAATTGCGAATTTCACGGGGATAGATCCAAAACACGAACAGAGGCAAAAGAAAAATTAAATTCATTTCCTAATAACATGGAAGGCTTTAAAAATGCTCTAGAAAAACTTTTCGTGGCTCTTGATCTCTGTGATAACGTTTTTTAGAATCAAACCGACAAACATGCTCTGTTTTATACTGTTCATTTGATTAATTGATATTGATGGCGGTAGATTTGCACAAGGTGGAGGAAAGGTTTCGCAAAATTTTTTCGACAAATGGTCACGCACACATGATTTTTTTTCATCAGAATATAGCTAGTTCATTCCTAACATGATTTATTTTTATATTTAATTTGCTTAATTTAAAAATCAAAGCTTTATTATATTTTTCATTAACTAATACACTGTAGATCAATTTGTACAACTAATAAATATGCTTATTCAATTGAAAACATTATTTTTTCGTAAGTCCGGCTAATAAAATTCACGTGATTTCAGCGACCTCAGGTCGTCCAAATTCTGCCAAGAAAATTTTTTATTATTACATGCAAAAATAAATACAAATGTTCGGGACGTAGCCCAGGATACTTATTTTTTAATAATTTTTTCGATCCTAGCCCTCTTGCTAGTTGGGGAACTATCTACACTAACCCGATCCTTCAATAACCCTACAATTATGCCGATTACCCTTTTCACGTTGCTTCGAAGTAATTCGGGATTATCTTTAACTGCGGACTTCGTGAGATTGATCTGATATTCACTACCGCTCGTAGAGTATATACCATCAGGAGTATATATGATAAAATGCCACTCTGTGCCTGTAGTCACAACACCATATATATAATCAAAATAGTCGTTCCCAAAAGCTTGATCCGCAGTCCGCTTCTTCTTATTTGCCTGGAACGCACTTTCAAGCTGAGCCAGATTCTAAGAAAAATAAAATGTGTTAATATTGAATCTCTTTCGGCTTTGGCGCTCTAAAAACACAGATCTGTGTAGTAGACGCACCTGCGCATATCCAATCTTAATATTGCGTGGCTTCCCTTCGGTAATACAGAGGAGGTCTTCCAAACTTTTGATCGCATAGTCTACTCTGCCCGTTGCATCTTCACCGGAAACGTCTCTTTCTGCAAAACTATGAATATATCTTGAGAAGTGAGTTTCTTGGCGATGGCAATTGATGCATGTAATATAGCTGAAATAAATTCACAGCGCGTTGCCTCGTTAGCATCGGTCATGGTCTCCACATTCGAAAGTTTTAAGATAATGTCCTCCATACAGTGTTTGAATGCTTTATCATCATCACTAATCTCCTCGAAGACTATAGAGAAAAATAAAGTTAATATAACTATCTAGTCAGCTTCGAAAAATAATTAATTACCTATCAGGAGTAAATTGCTTGATCTTTGTTATATCTTCCCCATTGACCTTATTTCTACGTAACATTTCCTTCAGGTCGTCGAGAGTTTTAAGGGAGGAATAGTTTCGTAATTTCTGACTGAGGCCTTCAATAAATTTCGTAAGCCTTGTTGCTGGACCTAACGCGAAACCAATACTACGTAATTTTCTTCTGTTAATTCAAGAAAGTCAGAGCCAGCAATCTCTTCCTTTCGTAAAATTTTAAAGTGGGTCGGTCTCCTTGAGCTTCAAGTCTTTCCTCCCCAAATATTCAATAAGCCCCTCTGTATCGAAATCCTTAACCACGTCCGACATTGTTCTAGTGGAAATTTCTTCTGTTATTGAGGCGGGTGAAGCGGGTGAAGAAGCTTGTGAAGACATAGTTTTTATATATGTGAGTTTGTGCTTGCGAAAAAAAAATATGCATTCGACTGCAGTTACAGGTAAAGCTGGTTTATGGATATAAAAGTATTTTTGGTTTCCGACGCTCGGGAGAAATGATAGATTTTTTTTGTATCGATTCATAATACATTTGGCCAATATATATGCAATTAAGATGTAGTACAGGATTGTCAGGCGATTATATTACATCATTACACGTGACATTTATCGAGATTTACGACAAGACGTAATAATACTTTATTTATGAAATAAAAAACGTTGCCAGAGCAACTGATACAAAAAACGATAATATATGTAATTACAGTCGCATTTCACTGCTGGGGTGTTTTAATTTTCAAATATACTATAATATGAATATTATCTTGAGGAGGTTGAATGGAAAAGCGGGGAGAAATATTAGAAATTGGAGATAGTTCCGTCCCCTGAGTCCCATTTTTTATGCTTAGAAACAATACTGTAGTATTATCATTCGCCAAATCATTACTTGAAATTTCAACTGCACGGATTACGAATTGTGTGATTGGAATGTCATCAAAACAGGGCGCACATTCTTTTTTAATTTTCGATCTAAGAGAATGGACGGATTCATTGGTGCCAATATCGATTGTAACGAGATTTTGACGAGTGATTTCCCCGACTGGAATGTTCAGGAACAACAAGACAGTTAAGTCTGATTTCTGGCATTTTGCTTTTCCTAATTATAAAGGCCCATAGTGAATAAAATTTCGTCTGTATAGATGCAAAAATATTTCGAAACATTTTCTATAAGTGAATAAAATAAGTTACATACCTTAAAATTTTTGCGGGAAAGTTGACTGAACTTCCACATACCATTACATGCTTTATATCTTGCTGGGAAAAAGAGCGCCAAGACCGAAGATAAGGAGATATAAGGCGTAATTAGTATTGTTGTCTGATGCCAAGAGTTCTATGAAGGCACATGCAAATGTAATTCTCATACCCTTTCACATGTAGATCTACCGGAGAGACACACAGTTGGTTTTACGCCTGGCGATCTCGAAATTCCAAAGTCCTCAGCCTTTCATAACATATGCTTTTGTCGGCACTATTTACTTTTAGAGCTGGTCCTGTGCTCCAACTAGACCTCCTTTCAAGCGAAGCGCCTGTGAAGCAGGCCATTTTTCTCATGTTTGTTCGGGAAAAAAATAAAGAATAAAGGTTAATATGTTTTTTCGAATATATATGTGAAAATTAATATGTCGCACAAACCCTGCCTGGTGATCGGCCTTTTTCTGTCACACAATCTGTGGCTCAGCAAATTCTTCCGAGCTGATGATCACTATCCCGGGTTGACGATCAGTATTCCGGACTCGGCCATAGGCACCTTCGGTAAAATTTTCCACATTAAATATATTACTTTACTATTAACAATCATGATGAATAACAATACTAATAAATCTCCTATGAAAGAATCTCTTGATCAATTATATGAAGTATTTTTATATAAGAAGAAGGATATAATAGCTATTCAGAAAAAGCTTGGTATTAATATCAATGCAAATCAAGAGGCAGTGCGTCAAAGCAAGGAAGAGATAACACTTGCCGATTCATATGAGTTGTTGTTAGACTTGGTGGGAGATATGTTACCAATACAGGAGGAACTCAACATCGAAGGCAATCCCATTCTAGAGGTGGAACTTATGAGTTATAAAGCTTCTACGGATATTTCATATAGAGAAATATATAATTTGCTTTTATACCTGGAAGAGGATATAATAACAATTCAGGATGAACTCGGTATTATTGGTTATTCTAATCAAGAAAGGGCAGAAGAAGTCGATGAAAAAGCAAGAGCATATCTCCAAAAGTTTGAGGAATTCCACGGTCCATTAGAAGATGTTCCAATTGTGATTTTACAGAAATATGGTGAAATGGGGGTAAATAAAATTCGGTTTACTGGAGAGGCATCCGCTATTTCCAAAGCTCTCTCCTCAACAATTGCACGAAATATTCGTCAAAAATCCATCTAGTGCCAGTCAATGCCCATGTCTAGAACAGGTTAGCTAATCTATATTTTTTATCACACATACTATAACCCAACAAAAAATCTTCCGAGCTGATCACTGCTCCAGATTAGTTAGATCAGTAGAGTACCAGCATTCTGCTTGATCAGCTAGTATTCTATCAAAATAATTCCTTGGTGACCGTCTGTTAGGTTGCCGGTGTATCTGAGATAGAACTGAATTTTGATTATTAGCAATACTATACCGGGTGTTATATAACCGACCACCATTCTGGACTGTTGATCTAGCCAACCCTGGATTGGAATACCACTGCAAATTATCTCGCATACTTAAATCTAAGAGGCGCTGATAACCCTGAGCTAAAATTTGTCTATTAGAAACATTGTTCTCTATAAGATGATTTCTAACTGCTCCAATGAGATCGGGAGGTGATAAAGTTTCCTCGAAATTCTCTATGTGGATATTTGGATTTAGCTTATTTATAGCTCTTTTGCTAATTTTATAACACCCCCTTAAATTAAGATATTTTAAAATATAACATGATCTAGCAATTTTTTCGATAGTTTTATCAGTAATTCCACAAAAACTAAGGTTGAGATGTTGGAGATTTGGACAGGAATGAATGGCATTGCAAATTGAAGTCTCGGTGACGTAAACACACCTACCAAAATCAAGATACTCTACACTAAGATGTTTCTCTACATTAAGGTGTTTCTCTACAGTAAGAAGTTTTTCTACTAATATATCACATCTATTTTTTCTTCGACAGCTACCCGGAATACTGAATCTTCGTAAATTTGGGCATGAGTTTAAGATGTGACTTATAAATCTTTCAGAAATCAAATGCGCACAAGCAAAATGAAACTCTTGTAAAGCTTGGCAACTGTCCGCAATTTTGATTAAAGATCTATCAGTAATACCTTGACAGAAAGAAATATTTAGATATTCTATTTTATGACATGATCCCACCATTCCACATAAAGCTTTATCACCCATAATACCACTACTACATAAATTAAGATATCTCAGATTGGGGTATGCTTTAAGCTGATTTAATGCTCTATTACTAAAACCCACACAATTTTCGAAATTCAAATGAATTATGTTTGGGCATGTTCTTACGATACCTTCAATTTTCTTACTTGAAAGTGGATTATAGTATGGAGATGGGTTAGTTTCAAGCTATAAATTGGCTTTTGCTTCCCACATACTAATTCTATGAATTTCTTTGCTTTGGGATCGTTTTCCTTTAGCTCAATGCGTCTTCATATAATAGGGCACCGCATCTGTACCACAATCGGGAAACATATAGAGCGGGGTAGATGGATTTATCTATCAATAAGAAATGTAAAATATGTTCTAGTACTTCTGGTAAATAAAAGATGGTTAAATGCGTCATGCGAAGCGCCTCTGGCTAAATACAGTTAAACTTCGATATACCGATTAAAGCTCCGAACAGTTCGGGCTAAACCGGGGAACCAATCTGAAACCGGCTCAAAATTCGGTTTGGTTTGGTTCGGGTATTAGAACCGAAAAACTGGCAGTTCAGTTTGGTTTAATCTGATTTTTTATAAAAATGCGAAAAATCGAATAGCCGGCCATCTAGTGATCGTATAAATTCGAGTTATATATCATTGGATTCGTCTCGACGAGACGCGTCGAATGGTGGTAAGATCATGTTTCTAGCATCAATAGATCACACGTTAACCCACGCTAAATGATTTATAAATAATTGGAATTAGCAAGCTATCTATCGGAGCTAGAGACATGATCTTAGCACCATTCGACGCGTCTCAGTGAGACGAATCTAATGAATATAAATTCGTTCGTATACGACCACTGGATGGCAAATAATATCAAGTTTCGCATTTTTTAAAAATTTTTGAGCGTTAAAAATTAAAAATTCTGATACATGAATTTATTCGTCGTCCAATGGTCATACAAATATGAATTAGGACTCATTGGATTCGTCTCAATGAGACGAGTCGAATGGTGGTAAGATCACGTCTCTAGCATTGATAGATAGCTTGCTAATTCCAATTATTTATAAATCATTTAGCGTGGGTTAATGTGTGATGTATTGATGCTAGAGACATGATTTTACCACCATTCGACTCGTCTCGTTGAGACGAATCCAATGAGTCCTAATTCATATTTGTACGACCATTGGACGACGAATAAATTCATGTATCAGAATTTTTAATTTTTAACGCTCAAAAATTTTAAAAAAAATGCGAAACTTGATATTGTTCGCCATCCAGTAGTCGTACATGAACGAATTTATATGCATTGGATTCGTCTCACTGAGACGTGTCAAATGGTGCTAAGATCATGTCTCTAGCTCTGATAAATAGCTTGCTAATTCCAATTATTTATAAATCATTTAGCGTGGGTTAACGTGTGATCTATTGATGCTAGAGACATGATCTTACCGCCATTCGACGCATTTTGTCGAGACGAATCCAATGATATATGGCTTGAATTTATATGATCACTAGATAGCCGGCTATTCGATTTTTGCATTTTTATAAAAATCGGATTAAACTGAACTGAACTGCCAGTTTTTCAGTTCATCAGTTCTTACGGATTTCAGCTCTAATCCAAACTGTCTATAATCCAGACCAAACTGACCCGTTCAGAGCTTTAGTACCGATACTCTATATACCGATAATTGCTTTTACTGATAAATTTTTGTTGTTCTGTTTATCACTAATAAAAAAACCTCATTATACCAATATTATACTATATAATTTCGCGATGTAACGTATACCGATACAACCTCCTGGTCCCTTTATAATAATGTATATTAAGATGTACCAATAATTTTGGTTACACTAGTGTTAATTCCGGCCGGCACTATAAGTTTGGCCTGAGTTAAAAAATTGTAACTTTAAAATTTAAGCATCCTTCTTAATTATGTCCGAAATTGGATTTTTTTCTATAATCATATTCACATTATACATAATATATTAAAGAAATTTTGGAAATTTTGGACTTAGAATTAAGTATAGTGCAAGCTAGAGTTAGATTTTGGCCTGCATTATAATCTACTAATTACATATATGTCCCGATATTTCAATGTACCGATACTTTTTCCCAATACCGAAAGCATCGGTATATCGAAGTTTGACTGTAGTCTGTATTATATGTTGTATCTTTAAACAAAAAAATAAAATTACGCATATTGATGATCACTACTTCGGATAATCGTTATTCTGCATGGGTTCATACTTTGAATGGAATCGCAAATTATCGTCTAATAATAGTTTTGAATTACATATATTCAAAGTTGTACCATTTTCTCGAAACTAAGGCCCTCCTAAAATTAAATCAGGTCCCGGCCAATCTGGTCCAACAACTATGAATTCACTGGGTGTGCTTTTATGTTTTTCACCATCATTAAAGCTGATATGCAGATTGACCTTCCCTAATGTGGAATCACTAGTCAAAAACCAATATATCGGATAGCAGATATGTATCAGATATGTACCCGATATGTGTAGTATTAATGCTGAAAATCGGGTACCCGATATGTGTAAGATATGTAGAGCTTTCCTTGAACGGATAAAATCCTAGGATTTATCCGGATTATCCTATTATCCAAATTTATATCCGGTTAATTTTATACGGATATTCGGATTTAAGAAATTATGAATGAATAATTCTATAGATTATCCAGATTATCCAGATTATCCTGAAAAATGATTAATATATATAATCTGATTGACTGATTTGATAGTCATACACAAATTGGCAATTGTATATAAATATTTGGTATTTTGTACTACTTTTAAAAAAACGTTTTTTTTTTTATTCAAAGAATTTATAGAACAAAGAATATTTTAAAGTTTAATCTAAATATGTCAACTGAAAGAACTTTAGAAACACATGTACAATCTGAAGATAACTATATTGATATAATTGATATAGAAAATCATACGCCCGTAACATCACCTTTAGATAATACTAATATAGAAGAATATACAAAAAATGCGTTTGATAAACTTCTTAATAAAGAAGAACATGATTTAGATTTTCAAGCTAAAAATAAAGGAGGATCAAAATTTCGCAGTTGGGTATATAATTGGGGTGAGCGAAAAAATCATCCATCAAATCCAAATAAATTTATTTTTGAATGTAATCAAAAATTAGATAACGGTGAAAACTGTACTTCAAAAATTGAAACTTCCAGTCCTACTGGTAATATTATTAGCCACCTTAATCGAAAACACAAAATTTATGAACATTCTAAACCTTCAGCAACTATTACACCATCTTTAAAACAAGTAAAAATTGATCGTTATACTATTTCATCAGATTCACATCCACAAATGACACCAGATCGGCAAAAATATTTGGAAACTCTTCTTTTTGAATGGCTCATTCTGGATTTTCAACCTCTTTATCTTTTAAAATCTCCTTTTTTTCGTCAATTTATTAATGCTTTAAGTGAAAATTTTGAACTTCCAAGTGATAAAGAATTTCGAAAAAGAATATTTGAAGCGTATGAATTTTCAAAAAATAAGCTTAAGCAGTATATCCATGAAAATGCAGCTTTAGTTTCACTTACTTGTGACCTTTGGACTTCACGTAGTAAGCAGGGCTTTCTTGGAGTTACATGTCACTTTATTACACCCGATTTTGAAATGAGAGAAATTACTTTAGCTATTCAATATATGCCCTATCCACATACCGGAGAAGCTATTCAACATGCGTTAGAGAAAATTATTACTCAATGGGAATTGCAAAATAAGGTTTTTTTTTGTACTACAGATAACGCATCTAACATGAAAAAGTGTCTTAATCAAATAGTTTGGTTACATAGATTATCATGCACTGCACACACAATCCAATTGGTAGTTGGGAAGGGATTACTTACTGCTGAAATTCTAATTGCACGTGCAAAAAGATTAATTAATTTTTTTACTTCACCAAAGCAAAATGAGCGTCTTTTAAATGCGCAAAAAAAAATTTCAGACGATGTTGAAGAAGGGAGTGATTTACATGGAATTTTTTATAGGGCAATAACCGATGTTGAAACACGTTGGTCAAGTACATATATAGCATGGGAAAGGTTAATTGCTTTAAAACCTTATATTGATATTGTTATTTCATCATTAAATGCATGCAAAGACAATAATGCTAAAGAGGACGTGAAAAGGTTAAATAAAGTTAACCTTACTAATGATGAATGGGAAATTATAAGAGATTTGCTTGAAATTTTGGGTTCCTTTGCTGAGTTAACAGAAAGGTTGGAAGGGACGAAATATGCTACAATGAGTTACATATATCCAGGTATCATTAAACTCAAAACTATGTTTAGTCTAACAATAAACTCTAATTTAGATTTGGAAACAAATGATGATGTGTTTGAAAATCATCAATTTGAAGAAGTTGATGAAGATGATGAACCCGATGCCAGACGAAAAATCAAAATAAATACTCCTACTAATACCTTCGGGCTTTTGGATGGTATTAAATCAAATCTTTATAAGGCACTTGAAAATTATTTTGAGGTAATTGAAAAGGAAGCACTTATTGCAGCACTTTTGGATCCACGTAAAAAAAAAACAGCATTTGCAAACAATGAACAAAAGGTATTAGCAAAAGCTAATCTCCACGAAATTTATGAATTAGCAAAGAATACTAATATTCAACTAGAGGAATGTGAGCCAAAACCAAAAAAAAGAAAAACTTCAACACGAGTTTATAAAAGAAGCTTGTTCTTAGATGATGAATCTCATGATCTTCAGACTGAAGATAATGAAGTTGAACGATATTTAGTAATGGCACAAATCAAAAACGATCAAGATCCTTTAAAATGGTGGGACGTAAATAAGAGTCAATTTCCGGTCTTAGCACAATTGGCACGAAAGTATTTATCTATCCAAACAGCATCGGGGGCAAGCGAAAGGGTCTTTAGCGATGCTGGATTGATAATGTCCTCAAAAAGGACAAGTATGAAGGCGGATTTATTTGAAGCTTTAATTTTTTTGAAAAGAAACGGCAATTTAGTTGGAGTAGGTGAAATGTTTAATAATAATAATAATAATAATATGTTACAATTTTACTAGAGTTTATTTCACTTTATGTACTCGTATTAATTAATTAGAATTTATATTTGCTCCACCACTCCTTACATGTTTGCTTTTGCCTAATTATTTTACTAAATAAAGAATTATTGTGATCGTTCTATAAATGAAAAATAAATTTTTTATTATTTTATTACAATGATAAATTATTAATAAAGCACTTCAAAAATAAATTACAGGACGCAACCCTATACATGAAATTTCTATCTAATATGCATAATTATTTGTTTTCAAAATACTCTTGAACTTGTTGTTTCTTCATCGCCGGCTCCTTCTCAACATCTACCCTATCCTTCAATAACCCAACAATAACTTCTATCACTCGCTTCACATTTTTACACAATTCTTTTTCATCCTCCGAATTCTCTTTCAAAGCAGACTCGGTAAATCAGATATTAAGAGAATTTTTACTTGTACAATATATTCCGTCCAAAGCGTAAAGGATGAAATACCAATCCGTAGCTGTTGTAACGATTCCATAGATATAATCGAAGTCATCTCCGAATGCATCACCCGTGATTCTGAGCAAAGCTAATGACCACTTGATATAATATCCCTTCCGTGATGCAAATAAGTTCCTCAAGGGCCTTGATTGTATAATCGACTCGACCGGTATTTTCTTCACCAACAATTTCTAACTGGGGAGCCAAAGTAATCTCTTTTTTTGTTATTCTCTTGACAATATATAGCGAAGACCTGATACTTCATGGGTAATATTTCAAGATATCTTACTCAATTTGTACGAAGTTGTAAGTGTAAAAATGAAATTCAATTGGTTTAGTATATTATCAATTTATTTTTCCAACTCAATTTAATTATAGGGATTAGTAAGAAAACGGCAAACTCATAATGAAAGATACATGTATCAAGCTGAAGAATGACCGAAATATATTCGCACCGCATGGCTTCATTGCTATCGGCAAGAATAGTCCCCATATTTCCCAACCTGCATTTTATTTCCCTTATACATTGTTTCAATTCCTCATCATCGTCTTCGAGTGTATATGTTTCTAGAAAGTGGAACATTAAAATTAGCCCATCAACTCACGTAATAGTTTGTAAATAATAAACTGAGAAGATAGGACTCACTTGGTGGAAATTGACGGATTGCACCTATCCCATTACCATCAATCCCATACTTTGCTAATACCTCTTTTAAGTCTTTCTGAGTCTTATACGAGGAAAATGAGCGCTTCTTTCTCCTTACACTCCTTAATGAAGTCTGCAAGCCTCGATGTAGGTCCCAGTTTCATTCCATGTCGCTCAAGTTTTTCTTCGGTTAACTTGAGAAAGTCACGCCCATTAACTTTTTCTTCGCGAATAACTTTCAAGTCATCAAGCTCCAAGTCCTCTTCTCTCTGTAAAAATTCGATAAGAGCATCTGTTTTATATTTTTTGATTTCGTTTGCTAACGTGAGTGACACATTTCCAGTTTGAAGGCTTCTGACAATCTGACAACGAAAAAAAAGTAAAAAAAATGGTGTTACGTACTTACGTAATTACGTTCCGATTGTTAGAAACAATATCCTAGGATAATTTGGATTATCCTAGGATGATTACTCGGATTACCCGTTATCCTAATTTGACAGGATATTCGGATCTTCAAATTTCCCAATGGGTTATCCTAAATTATTCATAGGATAATCCAGTGAAAAGCTCTAAAGATATGTGTAAATATATATATCGTCTACATATCATTTACATATCATATACATATCGGTACCCGATATGTATATGATATATATATTTACATATATCTTACACATATCGGGTACCCGATTTTCAGCATTAATACTACACATATCGGGTACATATCTGATACATATCTGCTACCCGATATATTGGTTTTTGACCAGTGAATAGGATACATCCGGAGTTGCAATGCTATTGCTTTCACTATAATATGTAATTCCTAATTCACTAATATGTTTTTGGCTAATGAAATTTACATTAGCGCTCGTATCAATTGATGCCTGGGTGTGACTATTTTCTTCGATTATACAATTCACGAATACCATTTTTATTATGGCATATATAATATCCAAATATAAAAAATAAACCTCTATCACTGCGGACTGGCATTTATAAGGATAATATATTTGGAGGAAATGGCCTCATATAATCAGCCAGAACATTATCACCATTACAGTATATCAATAAGATTAATCCATTTTTTCTTTTATCTTTGCCTGATTCCCTGACCCCTTTGAATAATTGCAAGAAGGTGAGTCGTTCATTATGCCGTAGTGTTCTACTGATACAACTCTGCCTACTACCTGTCTGCAAGCCAATTTTCACAAATATTGACGATAAGAATCATTCCTACCCCATGGATCCTGCTAGCGTGGTCCACACCTATTACCCTTAATTTACGTGAAGTAATTCCATGCTCAGCTATAGTGGTATTAATTGGATTTACGTTAACTATACCACTACGATTTTTTTGTAAGAAAGTGAATTTTTCCGATATTGCGTTCTGAATCCAGGTGAGCAACTCTTTTGCTCGTATTGGATCTTTTTCCATTGAGAGAAAAGGTCAGGGTTCTCCTGATCCTGTTTCACGCTTAATTTTGGAGTAATCAGTACAATACCAACTATAATTGGATTTATACCACATCTCGTCTGATATATCATATTGATCAATAGAAAGACCAGCAACATCTGCCGGTCGCATAGACAACATTATCATTATATCAACCAGATTTTTCTTAGAAGAAGACGAGGAAATATCACATTTTCAAGTCTTTCCTGAACCTTTTCTAAGTAGTAGTGTTCAGGACATTCAAAGCCCTCATCTTCATCAAATATATGCCAGTGTGCTTGAATTTTATTCGATTCTGTAGTAATGTGTGGAATTTTGGTCACTTTTTTTTTGGAATGATCAGCTTCATGATCGCGTAACTTTTTTTGCAATAAAGTGAGCCGAGAACTTCCTGCGACTGGATTAGGTGCATAACCGGCCAGATCATTTGAAATTTCTTTTATTTTCTCCAGTGGAAAGTCATTGTTCACAATTTCTTGAGCAATTTTATCAACAATATCCCTGCCTTTTTCATGCTTTCCAGTAGGTCGAATAGGAATGAGATCTTCTACTTGTTCCTTAATAAGCCCTAATTGTCGAATATGTGTTTTGGCATTGAATCTTACCTTGCGATCATCCTTCAAACTTTTGTTAATTTCCTTTGTGTATTTGGCTAGTTCGGATGATGGAGTTTCAGAGGTCCATTTATGGCGTTTCATGAAATCTGTAGCTACTTTTGCCATATTGTTTTTATGACACTATAGTCAAGAATATTAAAACGTACTAATTTTATATTACGTACAAAAAAGTTCAATTCGAAAAAAATATCCCAATAATAGATTTACTTTGTAAATACCAGCCCTCACTCATGATCGGTAAAAAAATAATAGAAGGGATGTTCTCAGGTCGAAGGATAAGAAAAATAATAATATAACTCACACGGTCCTAAAGGGACTAGATTTGGCCATGAAAGATATGCAACACATTTTTAAATATCTATAATAAAAGTAAAAGCGAAGTTTTGAGATTATTAATATCAAAATTACCTCGTATGGGTCATTTTATCTGCCAATACATCAAGAGAGATGGTTCAATCTGTGGGAAAGGGTGCATGAGTGATTTAAGATGTGCCAGACATTATAATACCCTTCTTAGAATAATATGCCCTATTTGTAAAAGGGAACCTATTCTGATACTGGAATCTGTAGTTCACATAGCGGAATTTATGACTGTGCCTAGCGCAAAATTAAAAAAACTAAAACAGAATCTAATATGGTCAAGACTTAGCTGAATAATGATTTGGACTAAAGTATTATTTGTCCTGCCCTATAGAATCAAAGAGTTCCTGAATATCGTTATCTGTTTTTGACCTATATGGTGAAAGTTCTGGAGCCCCTTTATCTCTAAAACCAAGACCATTATATGGTTGCTGATTAATTTGATATGAACGTTCCCAAACCTGTTTTTCTTTAGACCCTATTTTTTTCCTATTTATCTTTACAGTATAGCCACACCAATTTCCAGCAATTGCATTAATTACCCTTATAGCTGAATTAAGATCCGATGTTACCTTAGCACGAGACTTGAATCTGAACGAAGAGTAATAGGGATTGATCCAGAACTTCTATAAACCTCTTGCAGGATTGTATGAACGTTTCTGATATTATATTACTGGAAAGAATACGCTTATCATCTATGCCGGTAAAGCCTAGTATTTAAAAGAGTTCCTTTATAACTTTCCAATGATTAGCTGAATATGATTTGTGCAAGTCCTCCGCTACTGATTTCTCAAAATTATATCCAGTTTTATAATAGGTATCTTCCCATTGTGCAATATCTTTGGCCTTTAACTCTTTCATTGCATTTTCCTCATTATAGCCTTGCTTTCGAAAGTGAGATAACCGCAAGAAATGTTTCTGAGGTTCAGGTGGACTGAAATGTTTTACAAACTTTTTATTGCAAAGATTATCCCAAATCTTATCATCCATATCTTTACCATAAATATTTCACATATAAAAACGTTTAAGTGCCATAGTATCTGGGATAGAGCGTTCTTGGTCAAACTTAAGATTTTCAGCTTCTTTAGGATCAAGATTCTGAGAAGTAGCAACCGCATCAAAATCTGTTTCCTTGATAACTAATGCTTCAACCCTAACCTCATTGTGGACTTTTTTACGATTTCCTATAACACCTTGGCTCTCATCCATTTTTATTAGCTGAAGAGAAGCACTGGTACTGGCTATAAGACTTCAAACCTTCTCAATAAAGTATTTTGTGGAAAGGCGTTTCTGGTGCTTGACTTCAATAAATATTATTGCAGCCAGAGATTCATCAATTTTATAAGAAACGATATTGTTATCCTATTCACGATGACCCTTTATTGCTATAGGTAAGTTATTAGGCCGAGCACTAGCAAGTTCTGCCCGAATATTTTCATGACCTGGTGGGCGAAAAAGCTCATTAGAATTTTTCTGATAGAATAGGGAAACAATAAGACGAGAACAGTCACGAATTTGATAAAGCATTTGTGCAAGAGCAGAACCAGGAAAACCTATAATGGAGGTCACTGTAGTACCCGGCACACTAGTAAAATCCATTGAATTTTTTATATATACAATTTTTAATGAAGCCAAAATGTGTGGATTAAACTTATCTGTTTAAGTTTAGAGTTAAATGCATGATTTATACATTCAATTTAGATTTTTATATATTCTGTGTAATACAAAAAGGTGGTTCGCATAATTAGTAAATTTTTTAAAAAGTGGTTCGCGTTATTATAAATTTTTTTTTTGAAAATTTAATTATCTCAGTTAATATTGATATTAAAAGAATAATTTATTATTCATTTTATTTTTCAGACATTTCTGTATGATTTATTAGATTTTTAGTTTAATTACTTAAGAAAAATTTTTATTAATTTGGGCAAAACCATCATTTTACTATTGTCTGGTGACCTTTATTATAAGTTTTCCCGGTCCTGCAAGAGCCTCAACATGAACTGGAGTGGCGATATTTGTAATAGCTATAACTATATCGAAGTGACTTGTAACCTTGAATGATATTCCCGCCTCCACTGTATTTGTATAAGCTATACAGTTAAGCTCGCTCCAAGCGACATTAATATCAGAAAAGTCTTTTTGTCACCGTTTCTTATCCATATCCCCATAATATGCACAGGCTCTAATAAGCGAATTATCAGGTTTAGATGACTTAGATGCTTTTTCTACTAACGCTCTAGCCATCACTGCTCCAGTAGATACAAATGCCACACGTTTACCCTGCCTTAAAAGGTCATATCCTATTCGCATGGCTTCTGCTCCACTATTTGGATCATAAATAAATTCAACTGTCTCACCTTATATGAGGCTGATACTTATTATCGACTATCCAAATATTTTCACCACGATACATCTGGAAAAAAGTTAATGTTGAGATATTTGCGAAGGCATCTATGGCCAAAATATGTCTTGCAAATCTTAAGACATCACGCATTGCATTTTTAGATTCCCGTGCATTTGTACCGCTAGACATTTGGCGCATAATGGCATTAGCTTCATCAAGAATAGCTACAAATGAACGGTCTGTGAATTTGACACGAAAGAGGCTCTCAACCTATACTATGATAATATCCCACTCATTTATAGATAAGTCTCCTTGCATATTTTGGTAGTTGCAAATTCAGAAGCCAGATGCTTTTAACTCATTAAGTTTGGATTTTGATTCATTACTAAAAGACTTTCGGTAAGAGATCCAGATATAGCATGGTAAAGAAGAAATATCATGTACTTTATCTTTCAATGCCATAATAATCTCTCTTAATGCAATGGTTTTCCATGTTCCCGGAGGAGAACGAATAAGCGTTGTTGTTTTCTCAATACCCAAGAAATCAGAATATACTTCTGGAACATCCTTTAATTTTTCTACATTAATCATCATTTCTGATAATTCTATAAGGGGCGCGGATTGGATATAGCATCGCCTATTCTTTCAACTATTCCTCACTTAGGCTTTGCAGAAAATTTAGTTGCTTCCCCGAATACCAATCCTTTATGACCTGGTTTATATTGCTTTTGTCGATAGCATTTAAATACAAAACAGTCGTTATTTTGAAGAAAGCCATATAACTGATCTTTCTCATGTTTGATATTGCAAATAGGATATGCTTTATATGACTTTGCTTGGAAGTTAACAAATCCCTTCTTAATGTTACCAACCTCAAGCCATTCATATTTTGCGGTAACTAAACCAGCTAAGGTGGTTTCATCTTCGATAAGTTGAAACTCCTCTTTTTCTGGCTTTTCAGGAGAAAAGGTTCGTGGCTAGATTTCAGAATAATCAGATTTATATTGAACCAAATAATCTTCTAGCTCACAATACCCGTTCTTAACTGAAAATATTGCAGGTCTTTTAACTCTATTTTCTTTTGCTGATCCAAGAAGTCGAAGGCTGAAGCAGGATTTATAAAGTCCTATATCAATAAATTCCGAATATGGCTTTCTGATCTTATTAGCGACCTTTTCTACAAAACCCCCAAGGTCTCTATAATCAATAAAACGAGCATGGGGATACATGATATGCCAGCTACATTTATTAGAATTAGACGAACTGGCTAAGGTAAAAGCATTTAATATTGCAAAATGTTTTAAATCAGAATATAAAATACTAATACAGGCAATTAAGATCCTGTATAATAAATCTTCGTGAGAAATTTTATATTTATTTAAAGAAGGAAGTTCAGGGTTTATAAGATCAGGCTTTTGCCTCACATCAATATCCAGAACCAGGTGGAGAGGCAAATTTCCATCAATACACTCATGGGTATCGGGTAACCCATAAACTTTAGATGGATGATTAACTATCATAAAACCCTTTCCTGCTACCCGAATAATATATTTTGAATAAATCTCTTCAGGATGATAGGCTCCTAGAAGAGAAATATCATTTTTATTATTAGACAAATATTGAAAGTATATATGATCATTATAACTAGGCTCATAGTCAAGGTCCACTAAACCAGAGAAGAGCCTGATTGCTTCATTTATTGTTTTAGGGCCAGGCCTGGCATTTTTTTGTACAAGAAGCATGGTGTATATACAAGAAACTAGTATAAACTAACAGAGAAACTAGCAAAGTTCAAAATAAAAATTTTATATAATTTTGAGAAAATATGCTTGCTAGCAAAACATTGGATCAGTAGTAGTACCCCAAAGTGATTGATGTGGTAGTACTCCAAAGTGGTTGATGTGGTAGTATTCTAAAGTATCCCAGAGTAGTAACTATACAGGAATAGGGTCTAGAAGCTAAAAACAAGCGAAAAAATGGTGACCCACTCAAGCAGAATTATATATAGGAAAGAAAAAAGAAGTTATGCTCGAGTGGGTCACCAGGTGATAGGCAGGAAAAAGATTGGGAAGGCAAAAAGGTTCAGAAGAATACACGAAAAAAGGGTATGAAAGCCATATAGCCTGAATTAATTCAGCATTTCGTGCCTCATCCTCGGTAATCAAAAAGGTCATAGAAGGCGGGATTGCAAGAATGGCATAACATTGGCACTTCGTGCCTCACCGGCAATCAAAAAGTGAGTGAATGGATTGCGGTACATCTTTAGCAAATAGATGGATTGCAAATTCGGCACTTTGTGTCTCATCCGGCAATCAAATGGGTATCTCCAAACCACTGCCTTGAATATGACGGCAAGGTAACAGGAATAGGGATGGTAAAGTCCTAGGTTCTGGACCTAAAGACCTGGTTCTAGGACCTGGTCTGCAGATCTTTAGGTCCAAATTTTGAACCAGAAGCAGACCAGGTCCTAAAAAGTCCTAGCCAATAAGGTTATAAGAGATCTATATGTTTAAATTATATATGTATAATTTGCTGTAAATTTGATTTTAAGTAATTATAAATTATAAAAAAGTGCACTGCAATATTGCAATACAATTTTTATATTATTAAAATCATATAAAAAATGAGTTGCGATATTGCGATTCACATTTTTATCTG